GCTTTCCTCCATTTCTTTCGTTTGTGACATGTTTCTTTGTCTCCACATTTTGGCTGCTTCCCTGTGTTGGTAGAGTGGCTTTGTGTGCTAGATGTCCTATAAGGCCCAGTGGCTCAGCCTCCCTAATTACCTAAGGTGGACACTCTTGGTGCACCCCTTTGTGGGCTGTGTGCACAGTCTTGTTGTAGTTAAGTCTTGATTGCTGTTGGTATCACTGTGAGGAATTGACCACCAGGCCAGTTGGCTGTGAGGACCAGCTGTGTCTACAATGGGAGAACTGCTGTGCTGGAGATACCGTTATGGAGCAGGACGTGATTCAGTGGAGCTTTGGTGCTCACTAAGTCTGCCCTTGGGTGTGTCGCTTATGGATGTGAAGAGTTGTACTCTGTTATGGTCTCACTCTGACAACTGGGTACACTGGCTCTTGGATCTCCAAGGAGGTGCAAAGTCAGCCACTGCCTGAGGCCACCCAGCATGAGTTACAGAGAGATCTGCAGATTCCTCCTCTTTGTTTGAGGTTTGGAAGTGCCCAGATGAGGCCCAGCTGTGAAGCAATGCAGGCTGCTGTCTAGGCCAGAGGTCAGCAAACTGCGGCTCGCGAGCCACATGCAGCTCTTTGGCCCCTTGAGTGTGGCTCTTCCGAAGCCTTAGGAGTACCCTAATTAAGTTAATAACAATGTACCTACCTATATAGTTTAAGTTTAAAAAATTTGGCTCTCAAAAGAAATTTCAATAGTTGTACTGTTGATATTTGGCTCTGTTGACTAATGAGTTTGCCGACCACTGGTCTAGGCCTTCTTTTGGAAGCTTTGGCGCTCTTTGACCCAGCTGCAGTTTGTTAGGTTTTAGATTGCAAAAGAACAGGCCATTCATATGCAAAAGCCTCTGCTCACTGCTTGGGTGGGGTTGTAAATTGGGAGGGGCGGGGCCTCAGGGAATCATCAAAGTGGAGCAAACCACAATGATTGCCAGTCAGCCCTGCCTCGGAGAGTTCCCCGGGTCTCTGTGTCCCGTGGCCCCATGCAGGAACAATGATCGCTGCAAGCACCTCTGCGAGATAGCCGCCCTTGCGTTCTGGCCTGATGCCAGACAGTCCAGTTTCTCCCTGTATGAGTTTGGGTCCCCAGAACTGGAGTTCAGAGCAATTGGGAGCTTGTATCTCCCTCCCAATTGAAAAAGACAAGAGCGTACCCAGTTGCTGGCCTGTTTCTGCACGTGCCTCTGTACCTCCACACTTCCGCACCTCTGCACCTCCTACTAGTTGCAATGTGCTTTTCTCTTTCCCTCTAGTTGTAGAATTGCCACTCAGCCAGCCTTCTTGTGGTTCTGGATGATATCTGTTTTGTCTTTTAGTTGTAGTTTTGATGAGGTTGTGCGAGGCAGCAAGTATAAGTGTGTACCTATGCCGCCATCTTCCAGAAATTCCTGTTACATATTCTTATATAGTACCTCCAAGTCCCTAGAACACTACCTTCCCTTCTGATGCCTTAATGATAAATTGGCATCTTGTTCATTTTCTTTATCAGTATACTAGAGGCCCAATGCACAAAATTTGTGCGGGGGGCTGGGGGATGTCCCTCATCCCAGTGTGTGCCCTCTCGTAATTCGGGACTCCTTGCTCCTAACCACCTGCCTGCTTGCTCCTCACTGCTCACCTGCTCTCTCCTTACCACCTGGCTCACTGCTCCTTAGCGCTGCCATGGAGGTGGGAGAGGCTCCCGCCACCGCCACTGCACTCACCAGCCGTGAGCCCGGCTTCTGGCTGAGTGGCGCTCCCGCTGTGAAAGCGCACTGACCACCAGGGGACAGCTCCTGCGTTGAGCGTCTGCCCCTTAATGGTCAGTGTGTGTCATAGTGACCGGTCGTTCTGGTCATCCCACCATAAGGGTCGCTGGGCTTTTATATAATAGATTCTCTGTAGAAATTTAGTGAATTCCTAGCCTTCCCTTTTAGTCACATTTGACTTTATTCCTGTTAGCTTTTTAAAAATTGAGATAAAACTGACATGTAATATTTTGTAAGTATGAGGTGCACAATGTATTCCTTGTTTTTTAACCCTTGATCCTATTTTTCTCACACAGGACAGCACATGTTGTACCCAGTCATTTAAGGTGGCCTGAATCCCATGAGATACTCACAATCCCTAGCTGATAGATAGTCCTAAATAATTCACATTTGGCCAGTCCAGTGTGAGTCCATGGTTGAGCATCGAGCTTTGAACCAGGAGATCATGTTTCAATTCCCAGTCAGGGCACATGCCCAGGATGAGGCTCGATCCCCAGTAGAGGGCATCCAGGAGGCAGTGGATCAGTGATTCTCTCTGATCATTGATGTTTCTCTCTCCGTCTCTGAAAGCAGTAAAAATACTTTTAAAAAATACATACATTTGCTTAGATGTCTAAATACATTTTGGATAAATTCTAAAATAATTACTTTGATGTCCATTTAAATCACCAAGACTAGACAAGGACTTTAAGAGTTATTTGTTATTTTTGTCAAGTTGTGGTAGTTTAAGTTTCTTCAGTAAACTTTTTGTTATAGGTTCATGTGCTATAGTAATTCCATTTAAAGTGCATTTCATTTGTTTTTGCTACTATTCATAAAGTGGACTTGTTTTTATAGCTGGACTTAACCGTGATTTATATCTGGTTTAGGTAAAGGATATTCCCTATTTTCAGACTAAAACCATACCTCCAATTGATGATCGAGGTGCAAGAGTGTTTGTTCATGAAGCAGGAGGTAATTCATGATTTTGTTCTCATGAGACTTCTCTTTGTATTTAAAAGAAAAAGAAAAAAAATTTAAGAAAATTTAAAAGGATGTTGTTTTTGGTAGAATGACTACAAATTCAGGTATACTTACTTTTGGATCATTTATATCAAAATAATTGAGGCCATTTAAAATTAAACCACATTTTTTTGTGTGTGTAATGGACATAAGAAAATGTTTTTCCAAGTAAGTACCCAGCCTCTAAGAAGACAAAAACTAGGTCAGTTATTTCTGTTTTTAAAAAAAGAATACATGAAAAATTTGTAACACTAATCCTCATAGGTCTAAGTAATAGCCATTTGGGCAAAGGATAGAGAGAGATAAAAATGTACTTATATATTGTATGATCTCTCTTTGTTATGGTCTGTCATATTTTAATATATGCATATCAGCCATAGGTTTAAGGCTTTATAATTGTGATTATTGCTTTTAAAGAAGTACCACTTTAGACTCAGAATTATTACTTTGCTTTATGAAAATACTGAGGATAACTAAAACGATGTCTTCATTGTACAATCTGTTTTCCATTTTGTACCTAAGCCTCATATTAAAGTAATAGAAACATATCTGCTGACTTTACATTAGTTTCCTAATTAAAGCAAATTATTCTTTTCCCAGTTTTGAGTGGTAAGAAGAGTTCTGGTTTTCTTCTCTAGCCTCCCTCCTGTAAACTGTCACATAGGTTAAGGCACTTGAAGGAAGGATCATTGATGCTGTCTTTACCAGTGTATTTTGTTTACTTCTGCACAGGTCTTCCATCTGGCACTGGAGGTCTGGTAAAAAACTCCTTCCACTTGCTGAGGCAGCAGATGAGTCTTACGGAAATAATGAATTCAATCCATTCAGATGCTTCTTTGTTCTTAGAGAGCACAGAAGACACTGGGCTACAAGAGCATACAGATGATAACTGCCTGTATTGTGTCTGTGTTCAAATTCTGGGTTTTCAACCCAGTAACCAACTAAGTGCAATATGTAGTCATTCAGGTGAGTGATTACGTCCTTCTGGATGAATCCACCTGAATTTGAATCTGCTCCAGTCACACGTAGGTCATCCCCAGCCCTATCCAGCATCCCTCACACTGCATTCTCATGCCCTCAGCCTTAGTTCAGCCAGCACCTCCTTGTTGGAGTGGTGTTTCAGTCTCCAATTTTGGCCCCTTCTAGTTTACTTTTAAACTGTTCCTTGGGATTAATTTCTTGAAAGTTCTTCCCTGTCTGTTCATGCCCAGCACACAAAACTCTTTGTGTGGCCTCACTAGTGTCTTTTTCACCATTCTCTTCTCTTACAGTTGACATACTCTTACTGACATAAAGTTTTGAACAAATTGTGCCCTGTTTCAGCATTTTCCTGCTGTTTCTTCTTGTCCCTCTCTCTCTTACACACATGCAAGTTTGTATACAAGCACACTGTCTATTTAGTAAGTCTACCCCATCCTAAGTGTAAGGAGTATTTTATCTGAGCTAGATAATGACACTCCTTCCTCTCTACTCTCATAAGTTCTGATAGTTCAGTCATAGTAGTGATAAGCCAGGGAAGTATGGTTCTTACATTGGTAATTATTAAATGGGCGGGAAGGAAGTCATAGAACAATACACATAGTATAATCCCCCTTTATATCCAAAGAAGCAAGAAAGATTAATTTATATACAGACTTTTAACCATATTTTTCTGTGGAGAGTGATATTTAGTTTGGGGTTGTGAGGCATGGGAGAGGGATAGATAAGGTGTTTTCTATGCTATATATATCTTTATTTGAATTTTTAAATAAAATTGTATGTAGTATATATTTCTTGAGAATTTAAAAAATTTCATTATCTGAGTAGTCTACTTTGAAAATCATTATGAAACATAATTGTTGGAAACTGGACAGAAATTACAAGGAAGCATCTCCTCTATGGTATACAATACAAGCACAGGAATTAAGCCATTGAGACACTTTAATTGAAATAACTGATCTTTCTCTTCAGACCTTCAAGACATTCCATATTCTGATTGGTGCGAGCAGACTCTCCATAATCCCTTAGAAGTGGTTCCCTCTAAGTTCTCAGGGATTTCTGGATGTAGTGACGGCGTGTCTCAAGAAGGCTCAGCCAGCAGCACCAAAAGCACAGAATTGCTGCTAGGTAAGTTGTTAGATTCAGATGCCAGCATTGTTAATAAAACTAAGTTTATTGTTGTCCCTAAATATTGTTAAAGTTGTCTCAGAACTATGACATCCATTTTAGTGAGGCCTGTTTAGCCAATTATTGCACTTAACTATATTAACATATATATGTACCTTCTTAGTTGTCTCCTTTCATTAGAAAGAATTTTGTTCCCAAATGATCAGAGTATGTGCAGTTTATCTCAGTTTTAAATCTTTTTTTAAAAAATATATTTCTTTGTTATTTTCAGAGAGGAAGGGAGAAGGAGAGAGAGATAGAAACATCAATGATGAAAGAGAATGATCAGCTGCCTCCTGCATGCCCCCTACTGGGGATCGAGCCCGCAACCCAGGCATGTGCCCTTGGCAGGAATTGAACCTGGGACCTTCAGTCCACAGGCTGACGCTCTATCCACTGAGCCAAGCTGGCCAGGGCCCAGTTTTAAATCTTTAGGTAAAGTTTAACAACAAATTCCATTTCTTACAACATTTTCTATTGTGATATAGATAAAATATTTTAATCTTCTTTTCAGGTGTTAAAACAATTCCAGATGATACACCAATGTGCCGTATACTCCTTCGCAAAGAAGTCCTAAGATTAGTCATTAACTTGAGTAGTTCAGTTTCAACTAAATGTCATGAAACTGGGCTTTTAACGTAAGTTAATACCAAGCCTGAGTATTCTTTGTTCTGCTTTTTATTGTGAAAAAGATACTTGAAATAACTTCAAAAGGTAGCTTACATCAGTAGTTCTCAGGATGGCATATCTGTGTGAGGCTAGATTTTCTTCATGTACTTCAACCAAATGACATGTGATAACAGACTGAAGCAGAAGCAGGTGTGTTAACCCAGCTGTCTTCTTTCAGCCAGACTTTAAAGAGATCAGTGGAAATGTGAAATAATACTACTCTTTCTTTTCTAGTTTTGGAAAGTCTAGTTATTTTTTTTATTAAAATGCTAGAGGCCCGGTGCATGAAATTCATGCGGGGTTGGGGGGTGCTTCCCTCAGCCCAGCCTGCACCCTCTCCAATCCAGGACTCCTTGGGGGTTGTCTGACTGCCGGTTTAGGCCTAAACCGGCAATCGGACATCCCTCTCACAATCTGGGACTGCTGGCTCCTAAACACTCGCCTCTGCTTGCCAGCCTGGTCGCCTCCAACTGCCTCCCTTGCTGGCCTTGTCGCCCCCAACTGCCCCCCTGCTGGCCTGGTTGCCTCCAACTGCCCCTCCTACTGGCCTGGTTGCCCCATGCAGCCTGCTGTTCAGTCGTTTGGTCGTCCCTCACTAACCCCCCTTCCCGCCTGGTCGCCCCACGTAGCCTGCTTTTCAGTCCTTTGGTCATCCTTCACTAACCCCCCTGCCAGCCTTGTCGCCCCATGCAGCCTGCTATTCATTTGTTACTGTTATTGTGACGGTGACCTGGACAATTTGCATATTTCTTTATTAGTAGTATAGATATGTATTTATGTTAACATGTAATGGGTTTATTTCTTTAATGAATAAATATTTTGAAAGTTTCTTATTTTAATTTCTAACATGGTAATTATTTATGGCCATAACCCACACAAAAAATAAGTTTTGGGGGGTCTTTGGTAATTTTTAAGAAAGTAAGGGAATCCTGAGCCCAAAAAGTTTTTTTGTTTTTGTTTTTTTCCTCATCCCAGGCATGAAAAAAGCTGGCCTACTTAAAAATGATATTTTCTTGGGTTAATTTTCCCCTACTTTTCCTTCTTTTTCTCAATAAAAATTGCAGAATTTTTGTTGTTTTTTTTAAATCACAGCAACATGGTAAAAGACTATATATTCACCATTTTGGGTTTGTACGATTTAAAGCAATGGTCCTCAAAAGAGAAACACCTCAGGGTCTCCTCGGAGGCTTTAAACACGGTAGTAACGCAGATGCAGGGGCCCACTGCAGGCTGGCCTGGGCTCTAGAGTCATGGCCCTGAGCTGTGTACTGCCCGGTCCACCCCACCACTGATTCTCAGGTGCTGTCCTGTGAAAGCTACTGTTTAAAGGTTGAAAGATACAAACAGATAGCTCAGTCCAGGGCATCAATAACTTCAGTCTAACTTAAAAAAAACACAAACTTATTTCTATTTTAAAACATTAATTTTGAAAATATTTGAGTCATCCTAGACTGATAAATAAATTTTGCAATTTCTCATGCCAGTGAAAAAGAATATTTCTAACTTTTCAAGAAACATTTGGGTTTTGATTATTTTAAGAGATAACTCAAAACGTGAGTTTTCTAATTTAAGTGTGAAGTAGGAATATTTAATATTTTATATTCGTATACCATCACCCCAGATATGCCATCTAATCATTAGTATCTGGAGAAAGAATATTTAAACAGAGATACTCTGGGGCAAAAGTAGCTGTTATTATAGTTTTCTTCCATAGTCTTGCCTTTTATTACAGAATTAAGGAGAAGTATCCACAGACATTTGATGACATCTGCCTTTACTCGGAGGTTTCCCATTTGCTGGCACACTGCACGTTTAGACTTCAGTGTCGGAGATTCATACAAGAATTATTTCAAGATGTACAGTTTTTACAAGTAAGCAGAATTTGTACTGAAATTTATCTTTCAAAAATAATTCTGTGTTTAAAAGAGAGATGATATCTGTTGATATACTAGAAAGTCATTAAATTGGACCACTTCTTCCCTAGATGCATGAAGAAGCAGAGGCTGTGTTGGCAGTACCACCAAAGCAACCTGTAGTTGATCCATCGGCAGAGTCCTGACCTCGTGTTTAGGATGTATGTAGGCAGATGCTATTCACACATTCACATTGTGCAGTTCGTCAACGCCGCTGACAACGCCGCGGACGGGGCAGCAGGGACAGGAGTGCCTTCTGTGCACTGTGCCAACAGTTTGGGTGCAGGAACAGTGGAACTGCCGACTTCCCTAAGCAAACATCTTCCTCTCTCCCCTGGAGCCCCTTTGGGGGTTCACTGTTCATTACCACAGTTTTAAAAGTTTTAGTTACCATTGTATGCAAGAGCCAAGCACTGAATACCTACATAGGTTTTCTATTTTTTCATTTTACGTGCATAACAACAGTGGAACAATAATAGGATACACAGAGGCACCCTTCACACAGTTATTTCTGAACCCTTTTTTAGGGCAAATAAAAACATGCCTTGTTTGTTAACTAATTTATGGAAACCAGGAGTCAGTGTCTCCGAGACATCATCCGTCAGCACAATGGTTTGTGCTGTAACTGCTGGTATGAGAGGGAACTTTCCCTAGTGTCCGTAACACTACGTCAGAGCTTTGTAACCTCAAAGCGAAAGAAGAGCCTCAACGACCCGGGACTTATAAGTTATTTTTATGTTATTAGATTTTCATAAAGTTTTTTATTTGTTTTCCTTCTCTTCAGTTTTGTTCCAAGGTGTTGTTATTATAGGCTATTTGAACCGATTTAAGGTTTTTCACTACAGTTCCTGATTAAAATCAGAAAATCATTTTACAGTTCAGCTTTTTCCCACTTCTAGAGTGCATATATATGTGTTCAGTGGACTGCCGTTTTCATCCTCTTCCCATATTACCATTTTAAACAGGAACTTGAATAAGCACTATTAATGCAGACCTAAAGCAAAAGAAAGCATTAAATGATACTTTAAGGAAAAGTTAAGTTTGCCTACAATTTACTACACATTCCATGGGAAAAGAAAAGCCATATTTCCTTTTAAAAATTATTAATGACACTGTTATTATGATTAAAAATTGTAGTGAAAAGCCTTAAGTACCAAATTTTAAAGCAGCAGTAATTTAATGTTTATATCAGTGTTCTTGTTTTGCACAAACTAAATGCAGTGATTGGTTAGTTTATGAGTACAGTAATTGCCTTGGTCACAGTTGTGAAATTAAGTTGACGGGGCAAGGTTTTGTTTATTTATGTGTTTAATTTGTATATGTCTAACAGAAATTAAACCTATATGCAAATTTGTATATAAAAATAGCATGGCCAATCATCATTAGAATGCTTGTAAATGAAAGGATCATTTTTTAAGGTCTATATATAAATAGAAAAAAATTCCAGCTGGACTAATTAGGACCCTTTTTTAATCATTTGTGTATGCCATTTTTACAGTCACACATCAGCTTTGACATCATCCTAACACACTGATTCATGTTTTCCAGGTCACAGATCCTCTTTACAATGGGCTCGTTCTCTGAGATCTCTGTAAAGAACCCTGTGAACCAGAAAGCAAAACTCACAGAAATACCTTTTTTTTTTTTTTTAATTAACTGGCACTGAAAGTTCCCATTGGGATGAAACATTTCATCTTTATAACACCTCTGACTGCACTTCACGAACTGTTCTCATGTGCACTGTGTAGCAAGTGACATGCTACGAAGCAGACAAGGGCTGGACTGCTGCTTCTGTTAAAAAGTGGTTCTTTAGACTTCCTCTCAAATCCAATTGAAGACAAAATATACTTTTTTATACTTTAACTTATCCTTAACCCAAATGTTCATTTAAATGTCGACAATAATTTGCCTGTCACCTTGGTCTTTGGTCTTGGGTGATTAAACTGCTTTCCAGAGAACCAAATGTTAGAGATACTAGACCAGATAGTGGTTAAAAACTCCAAAGGCAGTAACATAGTAATCTTATTCACAATGGGATTAACCTATTTTAGACATTCATTTTAAACACTACCTCAGTTAATATTAATAGAGAGTATAAAATCTGTGGTTTTACCCCTCAGAAGGTAACAGTAATTCTTTTTTGTCACACACATCATCCCCATCCTGGGGCCCCACCTCACTCGTCCATCCTGAAATGAAGTCTCATTACTGTTTGTCTGAACTGTTTTGTTTGTGTTTTTATAATTACTTTGAAAGACTTGTATGTATGCATCCTAATATTTGCCTATAGCACTTAGTTTGGGGAGACACTCAGAGCTTTTTGGTTATCAGTAATTTAAGGAACAAATGTACTTAAGTGTATATGTTTCACTGACAGGTCGAATATGTTCTTTTTGAGTACTTGTTTGTATAAAAGTAGACATTAATGATGAAAAATGCTCACATGCAGTGCCAAGTGATCGATCACCTTAGGGGTTTAAAAATAATAAATTATAGCAGAACAGGTTAGGAATGGGATCAATGATAATAGAAGTAATTGAGAAAATCATCTATAAATGATAGATATTACCAGACTAAAAAATACCAAAATAATGTCAGTACTATAGGTTTTCAAGATTTTAGGATTAATCTTAGTTCATATAAATCTGTACTATTGGTAATTACTGATAATTTGGAGGAATTTGGACAGTTGTGCTGGTTGTAAACTGTGAATTTCTAATAGTAAAGTAAAGTATTTTTAATTGAAATTTTTTTCAAGAACAGATTTTAGCTTCACATACTAAATAAATACTGATAAAATTAGAAATTAGTATTCGTAATTAAATATGATCTAAAATTTCTTACATTTTTATTTCCTGTTTATGCTTAGGTAGATTTGAGGGGAAAAGTTTCTTCTCCCTAATAAAAAAATTTTTTAATGAAGATTGGTAGCATTTGGACATCCTGTAAGACAGTGACATTAAAAAAAGGCTCTTTGGAGGTGGGTATATACATTACTATACTAGTTACTCTAATATGTGTGCAAGTCCTTTTAAAATGGTGTCTTTAATAGTTTTCAGCTCTTTTATCTGGAGCTTGGAACAATTAAAGCTGAGTTTTTCAGGGCATATTACAATGGCAGAGTGCTCAACAATGGGGTGTCCATGCGTATTTAGATTTGTCTACTGCTGTTTATATACAGATTTTCATTCCATTCAGAGGATGCGTTTTATCCCACATTAAGCACAGATGATTAAGCAATAAACACCAAATTGTCATCCAAATTATAACTGCAATTATTTTTGCATGGTAAGAGGGAGGTGCTGATTTTGTGTGAGATGAGCTTTGTAAACTACCTTGGAAAAGGGTCCTTTGGAAGTAAGGTTTTTCCCTTTGTCCTGTGCTTCCAGTTTTATCTCAGATTCACAACCCATTAAACCAGAGGGGAAAGAAAAGGTAGAGTTCATTGCCAGAGTTTTACCAGAACTGTTGGAATAAAAGAACATTTCAGCTTTTCCAAAATGTAAGTTGGGAAAGGTCTCCCTTGTCTGCCAGTCAGGAAATACATGATTACCAGTAGTCCTTCAGTGAGTTTCGTAATGAAAGCATGCCAGTGAATCAACAGCAGTGTTTCTCAAAGGACATGGAAATCGGAACCCTTTCTAGGAGCACTATTGTTTTCTTTCAGTCCCAGGTGCCCAGGGTAGTTTTCATTCATAGTAGGTTTGTATGACCAACACAGAATGCGGATTCTCCCCTTTGGAGTGTTTTTGTAATGTAGGTGGATAGCTATGCCACAGCATGCATGAATTGCACATTTTGTTTGATTTTTTAAATAAAATATTTAATTTGAGAAATATAATTTATGCCAAAAAAGTATACCTTGTAATTTTGCCACTAAAAAGGTTGATTTAGCACAAAATGCAAAGTTTTGGGGCAGAGGTGGGGGGAGATAAAAATGTTTCATAGATAATAGTTGGAAATGTTCCAGTACTGGCCTGTCAGAAACCCTGATGCTGCATTGTAAAACAAATGGTGTAAATTAGTTTTGAAAAGTGGTAAGGGATTGTGAAAAAAAATCTCAGATTAATGCTCCCTGGCCACATGACTTTCTTCTTTTTTTAATTTAGTAATACGCTGCTACATATTTGGAGGTTCTGGTGTTTGTAGGTCACTGAACAGACATTGAAATATGATTTATATTGTATAACTGTAACATAGAAAGAAAAAGTATTTATATATTTTCCGTAAGAATATTTCATTGAGTTGTGTATAATTTAAATAAGGTTTGTCCCTAAATGGTTTTTCTCACCTTGATTTTTTTTTTTTGTTTTTCTTGTTTTTGTATAATGTGTACAGTTTATGTCAAGGGCATTAAAAGCCTCCTGAAGCATAATCTTATCATTTTCTTGTTTTTGTATAATGTGTACAGTTTATGTCAAGGGCATTAAAAGCCTCCTGAAGCATAATCTTATCAAAGGGATACATTCTTAATAAAATGTACTTAAAATTCTTAAACTTGTGTTGTTCTGTTTGAAATTTTAAAACAATCAGTGTTGATTTGAAGTATGTACCACTGAGGCTGATATATATGCTTCCCAGTAAAAGGGACTTTTAAGCAACACAGATAACCTAGTTCAATGACACATTCCTGGCTTGTTCAAAATGTCTTCAAATATCTGCACTCTCTTAAACATTATTCATAATATAATCAAACCTATCTTTACAGTTTTACCCTCAAATCATTATCAAGGGTCTCGAAAAAATGGATCAATCTTCTGAACAGTTCTGAAGTTTTTGAGGAATTGACGTACAATAAAAATGATAGGATGATGACTTCTGTGGGAGGTGGTTGATTTCTCAGGCAGAAACTCGCCTGAGCAGACAGGGTAACATACGGCCACCTGGTGGGGGAAGAATACACCACAGGGGAAATTATCAAGCCTGGAGATTAAAATTCACTGTCAAACTGTGGTCTATTGCAGCTGATTAAGTGTTGTAAAATGTATGTCTCGCTTTTAGAAATAGATTTATTTTGGATATTTTGGTCTTGAAGCACATTTCTGTGTATTGTTTTTCATTGCCTTTCACGGTATGTGTCGTTAAATAGTAGGCCCCCAAATAAAAAAGTACAGTGAATCATCCTACAGCTGATCTTTGGAAAATGTGGTAATATAGCTGAACTTGAGGAACTTTGTTTCATTTTTTAAAACTCTTCGATATGTAAAAATATTCAAACAAGTGCTGTCTTAGTCCTTGCGGGCTGCTGGGGCTGCTGTCACAAAGCACCACACGCTGGGCCTTCACAGCAGGAGCTTCTTTCTCACAGGCATGGGCTGGCAGCCAGGCCAGGGCCAGGCGAGGGCTCGCAGCGCCCTGACTCCTGTGTCCTCACGTGGCAAAGGGGCTAGGGAGCTCCCTGCACTGAGAGCATCAGTCTGACTCTCAGAGGCTCCGGCCTCATGACCTGATCATCTCCGAAGGCCCCACCTACCAACACCATCATCTGGGGGTTAGAATTTCAACATACACATTTTGGGGGGACAGTCAGACTATAACAACTACTTTTGATCTCAAAAAAGAAACCAAAGTATACTAAAGCTTTATTTCTTTGAGGCTTATAGAGAGTAAGACAATTGCATTTGCTAAGTCCATTAAATTGAACATACTACTTTGTTACCATGCTGTAAAAATTTAACCGATTCTCAAGGTGTTTTATCTTTAAAGTTCTTTATGCAAAATACTTAATGTTTTCTAAATTCTTTGAGATGAAGACCAGCTTATCTTTCTGCAGAGCTCCTAGGACAAACAGATGTCTAATTCAACTAGACCTTAATAAACACATTCCAGGGAGAGCCAGTTTCGCTTGAAGTCATGGGAGTCCGGTGTTAGAATGTCAGCAGACTTCTGTAGCTGCTGTGAGACAAGGTCCCTGCCCCAGCCTGAATCGTCGGGGTACCCTGCCCATATAGTATTGAAACTGAAGGTTTGAAATACTAATTTACTTGGTGGTTATGAACATGGGAGAGGAATGTTTATAGCCAAAACTATAGTTACAGTGAAACTGTAAGCAAACGGTTATTATTAGTCTAGCATTTCCTACTGGTGTTTTGTTATGGTTCAGAAAGTTGCCTTCATTTGACTTAGGCCAGTGAGTCTCAAAGCTGAGTGTGCATCCGAATGAATGCCTGGTGGACAGAGAGGCCAGGCCTCATGCCAGAGATCCTGACTAGGAGGGTTAGAGTGGCATCCGGGCACACCAGCTCCTGAGGTGATTTATGAGCTATGCTAATTGTTAGGTTTCTATTTCATGGAGGTAGAGAAAGCATGAACAGTGGTGAAACACTTTAATTAGAGCTTGTTACAACAAAAACGACTTCCAGGGCATGCATTATTTTTTAAAGAAACTATGAAAGAGTGTTTACAAGTCAGTCATCACTGCCACTGACATCTCTGTGGGCTTTTACAATTGCGTCGTGACAAAGGAACACGAGGGTAAATGACAACACTGAACCCAAGGTCCTCTCGGAATTACTAACCGAGATACTCATTGGTACTGTGTTAGGAAAAGGCTTAGTTACATGCAAGCACAGTGTTGAAGAGCCCGAACAGAAGCCCTGGTGTGTGCAGGTACATGGAGGCCGGCTGACAGCCACCTGGCTTTAGGTGGGTCCTTTCCTCCCTCTCTCCGTGGGGTTGAGCGTGGAGTGCGGGGCGTGGGGTACCAGAGGCAGCGGCAGTGCCGTCTTCATTAGGCAAACGGCACCCCCAGGTGTGCTTGTTTAGAAACGTGATCGATCAACATTGCGGCTGACGTGACGGGCAGGAGGCAGAGGAAGGAGCTGCGTGCACGGAGCACCTGCTGCGCGGCTTCGCATCCACAGGTTCAAGGAGATGAGGCTGCTGAGCCAGAAGCGAGTTCCCTCCAGGTGGCCTCTAGGAGCTCTGCCCAAACGGGTCCCACAGCGTGGCTTCACTCACTAATGCAGACATATAGATGAGAGGGAGGGGGTACTTGGCCCTGACCACCTGCTGCACAGTCCAAAGGATGCCAAATGAACACAGGCCACGTACCTGGCAGTTCTTGAAAGAAAAGAGGAACCATGGAAAGTAAACGAAACTACTCAATGCTGCGCTTTCCTCTCTCTGAGGTAGTCATCAACAATTCCGGTGGCAGACCGGCGTCCACCAAGTGGGAGCGCCGTTATCCTGACACTGGGAGTCCCTGGCCAGTCCCTCTGACGGTGGTGAGTGAGAGAGGACAGGGTGGGGGTCTTCCCGACGCGTGCACTGTCTCACCTGTTAGACAAGGCCTGCGCCCCCAGGAGTTTTTACTGCGCCAATGCACGGCCAGTTCTTGTCACTGCGAGACAAGTCCAACCTGTGTCGGTCTCAGACATCTGTGACATTTTCATGAAATGCACCTAGAATAAGTAAACACTGACAACGTAGGCTCTAGGAACGAAACGCCGGTGGCCTTTTCAATTAAAGGCTTCAATCTGGTTCCTTTACTCTTAAATTAGGAAACGTGGGGGTGGAACTTAATGGAAACCTTTCTCGTTACAGGCTGAATTCCAGGACCGTAGCTGCCCTGCCCGGGACTGCAAGGATGGGGTCTGCCCCTGCGAGGGGGGCCAGGGAGGCTGTTACAAGGCGAGCCTGGGACACGCAGCCGCCAGGTAAGCGGGCTGCCTGCTCCCACAACGCGGGCGTTTGCACAGCGAGCCTGCTGCGAGGGAGGGAGGTCAGTTTCATGGCTTCTGAACTTGGAAACCTAGCGCGATGGCAGTGGTCTTGTCTGACGCAGACCTGCCCGCCGTGACAGCTCACCGGGGCTGCACACGGGGCCTGGCGATGGGGTGGGGCCGGCCGTGCTTCTCGGGTGTCTCTGTAACCGCGTGAAGGTGTGAGAGGGACGTATGCTTAGCGGCAGTGTTCGCCTGGATCCAAAAGGCTCATGGAGGAGAGACTGCTCTTCTCATTCGGGGCAGGGGAGGCAAGACCCGGGGGGACGGCCATTTGCATTCTGTACTCGGAACGGGGTGCTAGCTCCAGGGGGTTTGTTGGGGGACTCTCCTTGTGCCCAGATGTGGGTGAGGCCACCTGGGACACGTAATTCAGAGTGGTCTCTCCGGCTGGGGTTTCCCCCGGGGAGTTCATGTAGCTCGGCTCTAGGGACCTCAGCAAATTCCCAGGTGCAGTCAGCAGGCCCCCCAGCCCTGGGGGCGCTCTGTGGGGTGCTGGGACGGGGCCACAGGACCCAGCGTCAGGGGCTGCCTGATTGTAGGTCAAGTTCTCAAAACAGATGCCAGGGCCCGGGCCCGGGCCCGCGGAGCTCTTCTCCGTGGGCAGGAGGTAAATGTAGTCGTGCTTAGTGCGGTCCGTTTCTGCCAGCGACTTCCTGGCGCCTGGGAACTGGGCCTTAATCCCCTCGGGCTTGTTCACAACCTCCAGCTTGTCGGGGATGCAGTCATGGGCACTCATGATTGTCAGGTGGGCGTTCTCCTGGCACGGAAACAGAAACAGGCAAATGTGACGTGGGCCTAAGTCTGTGGGAGGCGCGTGGAGCTGCCGCTTTTCTCGGTCCCTCCTGGTCAGTGTTAACTGGAGGTTAGCAGGGTGTCCCCCTCCCACTGCCCTGGGAGAGAGGGGCCTGGCTCGCTCTGTCTGTCTTCCTGGGAAGTCCACGGAAGTGTGATTGCTACAGCCCAGCCGGGGCTGGAGTTTCATAGGTCTAGACTCTAGGGTTTCCATACAATTCCCCAGCATTTACCTTGGGTTTTAATAAGGACAGGACGCTGCTCTTGTACGGGTCTGGAATGTCAGGATAACACGTCTCCTTCATCCTAGAAAAGCAGTGAAAATGAGACTGAATCTTGCTTCAATGTGTTGGAATAGTTATGAATGAGAACTCTGAAGTCAGATTCCTGGGTTGTAACCTTGCTCTGTGGCTCACTAACTGTGACCTTGGGTCAGCTGCTTAACCCTTGTGTACCTTTAATTTCCTCATCAGTTCCATGGAGAC